GGGGGGGGGGGCAGCTCCCACAGCGGGCGGGGCGGAGGCTGCGGGCAGGGGCGGGGCTCCCAGGGTCTGGGATCTTTGATAAGCAAATGCAGCCCCAAGCTGCTCTCTATTGGCTGCGCTTTCACCGCCAGATTTTGACACAAATAATCAGATTGAAAATCAGGGAGGGGAACAGAAGAGGAAAAACCCAGGGAGAGGAAAAAGGAGAAGTAGCTACTTGTGCCGAGAGTCACAGTGGACGTGAGTGGAGAGCCGGCAGGCGGCCCCCAGGAGCTCCCGCCAGGACCCGCTGCTGTGCACCCAGCCAGGTGAGCCGGGCTCAGGCGCACCCAGACAGGTGAGCCGGGCTCAGCTGCTTCTCTTCCACCTGCACATCTCACTGTGACGGCTTCCAGGCCCCTTGGCCAGGCCCCTTTGCAGTTCCAGGAAGAATAAGGGGTGCTGGAAAATCTGCCCAGCTGCAAAGGGGGCTGGACAGCCTAGCGTGTGGGGGAGCCTGAGTAGGGACGCCGTCTCCCCAGCCACCACCCCAAAGCCACCTTTCAGAACTGGGTCGGCTGACAGCTGCCACCTCCGGGCACCCAGCCCAGGGCGTCAGTGCTCGGAGCCAAGCCCACACGGCTCCCCCAGGGCCCAGAGCAAGGTGCGCACTGGCCCACATAAACTGCCCCGCCCAAGTCTTTCGCCGTAGCCCCCCCGCGCCCCCAGCCACCACCTCTGAAGTCCCCAGGACCCTTTAGCACACCCAGATGCTTCCAGAGCTGAGGAGGGCACGGGAGCTCCCAGCTGCCTCACTGCCCTGGCCTCCGCGGTGGGGCGGGCGGAGTGTCGTGGGCCGCCAGGGGAAAAAGTGAGAAGGGAGAGGCCCAGGTAAGGCTCCCCCAGGGTAAGGCTCCCCCCAGGGTAAGGCTCCCCCAGGGTCAGGCTCCCCCAGGGTAAGGCTCCCCCCCCAGGGTAAGGCTCCCCCCCAGGGTCAGGCTCCCCCAGGGTCAGGCTCCCGGCCTGGGGAGAGGCCAGGGTCAGGCTCCCCCAGGGTCAGGCTCCCGGCCTGGGGAGAGGCCA